TCTCTCTCTCTCTCTCTCTCTCTCTCTCTCTCTCTCTGTGTCTCTCTCTCTCTTTTTTTCTCCCTCCCTTCTGGCACTGCGGCATCATAAGTGGTCAGCAATGCCGACAGCACACAGCAACTCAATATTCGCTCAGGGGTCCTTAAAAAGTGCTGAACATGGGTCACTGAAATGTCCCAGTAGACATGTTTTGGCACGATAATAAAACAAGATGACACGAGAGTGAATATAAAACAAGACGAAACAACTTTCTGAGACAATGGAATTTTTGTAATAGGAAAACATCTTTGTATACAATATATATAACAATTTCTATTTCTGATACAAGCCTCAGAAAATTCCAGCTTCACTCTAGTAACAATCTCAATAGTTACCATGATAACATAAACATCAACATTTATGCTCGGGAGTCCATACAAGATGTGCTACTAAGCAACCCGCAATCATAACTCACATGAAGTGAACATAATACGAGAGAGAAACACCTCAGCTTGTTCAACCACACTCAAATTAAATATTCTAAGGCCACTTTTATAATGTCGGTCAGTGAAAACAATAGTCCTGGATGAAGCAGACAGCGAGAGTGAATTATAGAAAAGAAACAATAATACAGCCCATTATAAGCATAGTAATGACACAGAGAAGAGATCTGGTGGGATATTGGAAAGTTCAAGAATTTGCTCGTAAACTTTCTCACGATGAAAAGTCGTGTTTGATTATAACCCTAGGCTGGACAACTTTTCAACTTTTTGAACTTCCACAAATTGATCTCAAGACACGGGAGAGCCTAGCTTCTTACAGATCTAGTTGGAAGGCAATATGTATTTCATTAAGGGCAGAAACTGGAACCAAGAGAGAAGCTAGCAAGCTGTGCACATCCACAAGAGGTAATAAAGCTTTTATACACTCAAAATATGGGAAACTCTTCTCAGATGGAATTGGTCTCATTGGCCACAGCAAAAGCTACAGGTCATCTTCATCCTCATTGCTTTTTCTATTTCTCTTTAACACTTTTCAGTCACACAGCCAGCAGCACAAAGTAGCCCATCTACTCACCCAGCCAGGAGAGCGATTACAACCGACTTCTTGGGCCTGACACAGAACTGCGCCAGGTGAAGGGAACAGATAATTTTCTCCTGTGCATTATTACGCCTAGTGACCGCAAAGTGTCAAGAAATATTCTCCCCTGCAAATGCACTGGTCATCATCAGACACTGACTGGGGTGTTTCTCAGCAGAACAGCAGCATGGTAAAATATCTGACAGCAGTAGCCTACAGGAAACATGGGGCTGAGGTTGGTCAAGCAGATACACAACTGGCTCAGACAATAGCAAGAAGTATTGAACCCTTGCAAAGTCAGGAAATAACAGGCAAGACAGAAGTGAAAAGTAAAGCGCACTCACCAGGCTTATCATTCAGACACAAACATTTATAACGCAGCAATCTAGGTAAATCAGAAGGCGAAAATTTACAAAGCAAAAGGAAATTATATGGCCTGGAAATATAAAAATAAACAAATTATTTACATACATATTTTTTCCATAAAAAGAAATTAGAAGTTTTTGCAATATAACAATTAAAACTTCTCGGCTCAGCGTTCGTCATAATTCACAACCTGAGTCAACAAACAGGCCGACAGTACCTCCAACAATCACTACACCACTGACGCACAAGCAAACTGGTAACAACGTTCAGACATCATCCATCAGCTTCTTAACCTCAGAACGTTACGATATACAAAGAGGAATTTACAATTGAGCCCAAAATGTCAATTTGATGGCACGTTGTTCATGTTCTTTTTCAAAAAAGGAAGACAAACACGACTATTTCTTGATTTTTGCATCACTTCCTTTTCTTCTTCTTCAGCCCCTTCTTCCGCTGAGTGTTTCCTTTCAATGACAATGTAGGTGTACACGTCACATTCTGTTCACTCATTGTCTTTTTTGACTGAACTGACATGTACGGGGGAGTACATCTTTTATATGTTTGAATAAATAAAACTTTTGTCTAAAATAATTAAGATACGACTGAATAGCTTCATATCATAACAAGGAATAAATAAAACTTTTGTACAAACTAATCAAGATACGACTGAAGAGTTTCATTTCACAACAGGGAATAAATAAAACTTTTGTCTGAAGAGCTTCATGTCATAACAAGGGATAAATAAAACTTTTGTTAAAAGTAATCAAGATACGACTGAAGAGCTTCATTTCGCAATAGGGAATAAATAGAACTTTTGTCTAAAATAATCAAGATACGACTGAATAGCTTAATTTCACAACCATGAATAATGCCCTTCTGTCTTCTGAAGTGATGGGGACAGGAAGAACTAAAATATTCTGTTCCACCTACATAGACTATAACAAAAACATAAAAAGATCATAGTTAAACCCCCCCCCCCCCAAAAAAAAAAACCCCAACAAAACCCTATGAATTCTTGAGCAAATGGGAAAAATAAGAATGAAACTATAGCTCTGAGCAGAAAGATAAATCACATCCAAGAACTAAGAAGCGTAACAACCTCAACATACCGTCACAGGAAAGATAATTAGTAAATTCTGTGTTCATTCTTCACAATTTCATAGACACGCAAATCATCCACATCTGTCACTGAGAGGGGGCGTAAAACCCCCCAAAAATCACCGCACAAAAATTCTGAATACATTATGTAAAACTAAAGGTAGGAACTTTACGACTAAAACGTGTACGATTGTATAAGTTTCAATGAAGGCACAAATATTTCAACAAAGCATTACAACTGTGGAAATTAGGAATTCTATTTCCACCTATCTGAGGTACCGTAGTGTTCGCGCTGTACTCATTTTGATAACTGAGCTCTTAACACTCTCCGCAGGATCTTTCCACTCGGGTTTTTGGGGATCTCGTTGACAAACTCAACACCTCCTCGGAGTCTTTTGGCAGGGCTGACTTTTCCTACGCATTGACAAAAAAAAAAGAAATGGTTTAAACAGCTTGCCTGTAGGCTTGAAGGTCATTTGTATGTCATCACTATATACGAAGAATAGAGGAGGAGGAGGAGGAGGAGGGGGAGG